GCATCGACCTTCTTGCCTTCTTGATGAGTGCTTTTCCACTAACTTGTTTCCGCGAATAATCAAACGCAAAACTTTGGCATACACTATTACAATTTGGATTTGATAAAATTAGGTAAGAAAGCATGCTCGATTAGGTTTTCCTCTGTTTCTCAAACGTAAATCGTCAAACTACACCAGAAGGAACCTGTGAACACAGAGCAATCTACTGGAACCAAACCAAACCAAAATGGAATCACTTTCTTCGCTTTTAATCTCTTCTACAGTTCTCTGCTTATCAGCCTTTTTTCTTATATATACACAAAACTTGTCTTACAATTTTTTATATTGTCCCTAAGAACATTTTAAAACTCTGTTATTTTCACTTTTAAACGAATACCTAAATATCGTAGTTTAAAACCTCTGGCAGCGCATTTGCTAGCATTCCTTCTGTTTACGAGCATATAGGGAAAACTTGATAAGCTTGAGAAACCAGTAACCAAATACATTCCTTTGTTCCTGAGCACCTACATTACACACCACGAGACTAGTTTTAGTAACCAAATTGTGACGAGCACACATCACAACAAAAAGCGCAAGAAACAACAATGATTGTTCATGTGTTTCTGTTAATCTACAGTAATACTTCCACTAGTTTTGAGAAACAGCAGTTGATACTTATATGTTTGAAACTGGAAAGAACTTCGTAGTAACACCATCTCTTGAGTTCATATTTATCATTAGACACTAGATGACTTGGGACTGATGACTAAAGAGATGAGAGAAAGAAAGCATGAATCAGAGACAAGTTGCAGCGAAGAAAGTCTTATAATAAGAATGCCTTTTAGAGAGATACTTAAAATCAGATAAGTAACAACGTATTGGAGGTTATTTGTAAACAAAAACAACGTATTAGAGGTGGTTTTTGGAGACTAAAGATTTATTCTAAAGCCAAAGCTCTTCAACTTTGCATGCCAGTACCAAACTTAACAAAATAGCCAGACCAAGTCATCCGGTGGTAAGGCATGATTTCAAACCAACGGATTCAAGAAAGACATAAAACCATGAACAACTAATCCAACATGAGCAGACCAAGAAACACAATTTTTCAAACTAAAAAAAAAAGAGTTGACAGAAATTTTACCTTATGCACTGAGATCAGGAGATGATGAACCATGCTTCTCAGCATCGCCAATCAAGCTGCTGCTAATGCTGGAGCAAAAAAATCTTCTAGGGAATCCCTTTGAAATGCAAAACCATATCCAGAATGTCCAATAAGGACTGAAAAATCCAAATGTCTTTGCCATTCAATAAAAATTCACTGAACAAGATGAATCAATTGGGCATCTCTGAACTCGAGTAAAAGAACTACCAAGTGCCAGTGAATGAATCACCGCTGAAACAGATGAATTCGCAAGACAAACCCAAACTGCAGTAACAGTTACAAGAGAGACACAACTTTTTTGCATCCCTCAGATTTTATGTCTCCAAGCAAGGATGGTGCAGAGCCCCGGCTCAACATTTCTTTGATAAGCTCGGCTGATGCGGTTATGTCACCATCTCCAAGACATAGTTTGCAGTCATTCAGCATAAGCCCGTCTCCTTTCAGTTTGGTATACAATGCATCTAATTCACGATGTAGGCCTTTCCTACACAAGCCTGACATCATTGTAGTGTATGTTACAACATCAGGCTTCATTCCTTTGAGGTCGAGGCTACAAAATAAACCCCAAGCATCTTCAACCTGACCAGTCTTGCACATTCCTTGGATGATAGTAGTATATGTGACAATGTCAAGATCCATTTCCCTCTTTTGCATATCTTCAAATACCACCAGTGCTTTCTCTAGCTCTCCGTTGTCACAAAGACCACTTAACAAAATATTATACGTCCAAATATCGGGAGAGACACCAAAAGAATCCATCTGACTAAAAAATTCTTGAGCCATATCAACATCGCCTGCTTGAAAAAACCCTTGTATAAGAGTGTTGTAAGTGACTGTATTGCTAACCAATCCTCTTTCAGACATCTCGCGGAACAGTTTCATCCCATCTTCTACTCTATTCGACTTGCAAAATCCATTTATAAGAGTGTTATAACTCACCACATCTGCTAAACAACCCTTGCTTACCATCAAATCAAACATTTGCCTTGCCTCATCTATGCGATTATGCATACAAAGACCATTGATCAATGAACTGTAAGTGACAATATCAGGATTGATAGACATTCGAATCATCTCCTCATACAGTTCTTTAGCCTCTAAAACCTTCCCATTTTTCACAAATGCATCGACCAATGCGCTGTAAGTGATCACATTAGGGCTAATTTTCTTCTTGATCATATCACTCAACAGTCGCGCTGCATCGCTCCATCTACCCGAATTACAAAGACCCTTTACGAGAGAAGTGTAGGTAACAACATTCGGTCTAATTCTAATTCCTTTGCTTTCAATTTCCTCGAAAAAGTTGAGCGCATCATTCGCCCGTCTGGCTTTGCACAAACCATCAATGATCGAATTATAAGCAACAATATCAGGTTTATATCCTAATTCCACCATTTTCTCAACAAAATAAACAGCATCAGAAACCCTATTCCTTCGACAAAATCCATTAACGACAGAACCTAGCGTGACTCTATCAGGCTCATAACCAAGTTTCAACATCTTCCCAAGAACAGATAAAGCAAAAGAGACTTGAAAACAGCTACAGAAACAATTAATCAAAATATTGAATGTATAAACATCATATCGAATCCCAGAAATCTCCATCTTCTTCACCAGAGAAATCACAACATCATACTTCTTCATCTTCACAATGACGCTCAATAATCTATTGAAATCGACAATGGAAGGAATCGGACGAAAATTGACCATATCACTGAACAAATCGATTGCATCATCGAGCTTAATATCACGAAGCCGAGTTTTGCTTAATCTCTCTCGGAAATCAGTGATGCTAGAATAAGCTCGTACCCAGCAGCAACAGAAACCGCAATGGCTAAACGAAGGAAGAGAAGCTCCGGCGAGATTACCTTTTCGCAGAAGATTCCGATGAAGAAATCTCTTCGTCGTCGATGCAATCGCAATCGCCGTCGATTTCTGCATCGCTTTCGGTTTTTTTTTTTGTTGCTTTGTGAGAATCCTAAAACGACATGTTTAGTCAGAGAGACGGGAAATGGTAACCAAGATTTCGAGATACCAAAACCCGGTTTAACTCCGGTTTAAGTTTAATTTTCATACTAAACCGAGTATTATCGACATAATTTACCGGTCTGCTTGGAAATTTGTTCAGTTTCTTCTCCCACTTTCGTAAAAAAAAAAGATCAAATACAGTAATTATCAAATTTTTGTTGCAAGAATTTGGTTTGTGTTTTTTAATGTCGGTTCGGTTCAGTTTCTGGTTAAGTATTTTGTCTCTTTCTTCGAATAATTCGATTTCTGTTATAGCTTTTGTAGTCTTGTGGAGCTTCAAAATAAAAAATTTAATGACTGTTATATGAAATGTATCAAATTTCTGATCGTTAGGGAAGAAAATTTAATTAATTTTGCAAAATCATGAGAACTTTTACTCAAATTCCTCTAATCTGAAACCTCTAATCTAAAGAGACAAAATAAGTATACTTCTAAAAACTATTGTTCTAATGGAATAAGACTTAGTCTTGATTTCAGAGAATGTACCTTCTCTTATCCTGCAAATGAATGGTTCACATCACTAAACAAGAACCAAAAACATAAAATGTAAGGAAAAAACACGACTCGGCTTTAAATCATTTTTACCTGTCTTGAACCACGTTTCTTCGGTTGTCTCCAAGGGCATTTCGACTTAGCTGCGAGTCCAGAAACAATAACTCTCTTTGAGATATCCACAACATCTCTCTCAACTTCCTTGGTTGAGTAATGTAAACTCAATCTTCCCTGCATTACCAGGCTCGTATTTCTCGCTTTTGTCGAGCATGTACTACGACTCTGGTTTTGTTTATCTTTGTTTTCTCCATTAGATTCAAGAACCGATTCTTCTGTTGCAACATCACTCGAGTAATCAAACCCTTCAATTCTCGAAGTCTTGGTCTCACAATGATTTGATGTTGTTGCCCTTTCTATCTTGGAGAAGCCTGGGAAGTCTCTACGAACCTGCACGGCTCCTTCGATTAGCATTCATAAACCGATAAACGTCACAAGGCAAACACAGATCAAGTCCGAATAGAATCTGACTTTTACCTTACACTTAGATTGCATCGACGATTCAACAGCATTGGATTTTACATGTCCTGAGAAAACACCACAACCTTCTGGAAAATCCCTGAAAACCGGAACGTTTCTTCTCTTGTACATTTGTCCAAATCAAAACATGTTCAGTTTTATAAAGCTATAACCCTAAACCTGCAGATACACTGAATACAAAGAGAAGCTATCTATCAAATATATTTACTTTCTTCTGTTCCAAAGTTACAAAATTGAATCAAAATACAAAATTCACCAAAAAAAAAAGAAGCAACTTTTTCATGTTCTCTCGTTTATTTGAATAAAGAAATGAGAAACCAATAAACAATTTTCATGAAAATCTCTAACCAAATTGAAACAAGGTGGTTCATCTCTGGGTATGCTCGCGATAAACAATACACAGAACCACAAAATCTTACGAACCCTAATCAAAATTTTACTTCATGAACACGGAATTAGTGAGACGAGAGGTCAAATTTTCTACACCCAGAATTTAATTCGAAGAATACAAAAACCATTACGAATGGAGAAGATTCCT